TTGTCTGTTGAAGCAAATGCAGAAATTTCCCGTTTTTACCCTTTTTTAAGGCAGATCCAAAAAGGGAAGGTAGTCAAACACTGTGTACAAGAAAGATAATATCAGATACTAAAGAATATGATTCATTTAATCCACTACTGAAAAGAAGCCTCACCTAAATAGTGGATTACAGTTTCATGAAAGCACACAGATCTTAAGCAATGTGAACTATCAAAATGTATGTCACCCAGGGTGTATCGTACTGTTTCTAAAGAACAGAGAATGCTTATAAGAATTATAAGAATACTCTGTAGAATACTGTTTATTTTGGAGGGCATATTACTCACATGCTCAGTGCTATGAAAGGTGAGACTAAAAACCAATGCTGCAATTTGGTATGATGATTACCAGGTAAGGAAGCTCCTTTGGAGCAGCCCAAACATCTGTAGTCCCCTGCGGCCATTCTGTGATGTCAGGACGCATGTTTCTGTTTAGACCTGCACAGGCTTTAGCTGTGCATTGGCAAGTTGCAAAAAGCAAGGCTGGCAGATTTAAGACTGCAATTCCACTTTAATACTGCCTGATTGCCCATCTTTGCTGTATTCTGAATGAGTTAGATATTGGGAGGGAAAAACATCTTAGATTACTCAAATCAAAATCATCATCATGACAGAAAGTCATAGAATCATAGAATAGCTTGGGTTGGAAGGGACCCTAAAGGTCATCTAATTCCAACCCCACCGCCATGGGACACCTTCCTCTAGATCAGGTTGCTCAAAGTCCCATCCAAACAGGCCTTGAACACTTCCAGGGAGGAGGTATCCACATCTTCTCTGGGCAACCTGTTCCAGTGCCTGCCTCACAGTAAATAATTTCTTCCTTAGATTTAGTAGAAATCTACCCTCTTAGTTTAAAGCCATCACACCAAGATCATCTGGTCCAACCAAATCCCTACCACCAATGTGACCCACTAAACCATGTCCCTAAGCACCATGTCCAACCTTTCCTTAAACAGCCCCAGGGATGGTGACTCCACCACCTCCCTGGGCAACCCGTCCCAGTGTCTGACTGCTCCTTCTGAGAAGAAATGTCTCCTAATTTCTGACCTGAACATCCCCTGGCACAACTTGAGGCCATTCCCTCTAGTCCTATCACTAGTTACCTGTGAGAAGAGGCTGACCCCCAGTACCCCACATCTTCCTTTCAGGCAGCTGTAGAGAGCAATACGGTCTCCCCTGAGCCTCACCTTCTCCAGACTAAACAATCCCAGTTCCCTCAATTGCTCCTCACAGGACTTGTGCTCCAGGCCCTTCACCAGCTTCATAGCCCTGCTCTGGACACGCTCCAGGGCCTCGATGTCCTTCTTGTAGTGAGGGGCCCAAAACTGAACACAGTACTTGAGGTGCGGCCTCACCAGAGCAGAGTACAGGGGGACGATCACCTCCCTGCTCCTGCTGGCTGCACTATTCCTGATACAGGAACAACATTCCAGGATGCTGTTGGCCTTCTTGGCCACCTGGGCACACTGCTGGCTCAAGTTTGGACAAGCATTGACCAACTCCCCAGATCCTTTTCCTCTGCACAGCTTTTCAGCCACTCTGCCCCAACCCTGTAGCATTGCATAGGGTTGTTGTGACCAAAGTGCAGGACCCAGCCTGTAGCCACGTTGAACCTCATTGGCCTCTGCCCATCGACCCATCCTATCCAGGTCCCTCTGCAGGGCCTTCCTACCCTCCCGCAGATCGACACTTCCCCTCAACTTGGTGTCATCCGCAAAACTTGGTGTACATCTGGTGTCGTAGTTAGGGCAGGATGTGGTAGAGAGCCTCTGGGTGAGAATTAAGGGGATGGACAGCAAAGCAAATATATTTTGTTGTGGGTGTCATGGGTGTCTATTGTTGACCACCCACCCAGGATGATGGCATAGATGAGCTATTCTATAAGCAATTAGGAGAAATCTCCTGGTTGGTTGTCTTCACCATTCTGGGAGAGTTCAACTTCCCAGGCATAAACTGGAGGAATACTGACAAGTCTGAGAAATTGCCAAAGCATTTTGAAGACAACCTCCTGTCACAAATGTTTAGCGAGCCAACTAGGAAAGATGCCTTCCTAGACCTGCTATTTGAGACTACAGGCCTTTTGGGAGATGTGAATGTAGGTGGCTATCTTGGCCACAGCAATCATGAAATATCAGTTTAAAACTTGTGTTGTAAGGAGAAAACGTCAACAGAGTTGTCACCCTGGACTTTAAGCTACTAAGGAAGCTAGTTAACAGTGTCTCCTGGGAATATACTCTAAAGAGGATTTAGGGATCCCTGAAAGCTGGTCACTTTTCAAGAACCACCTTTTAAAAGCCCAGGAGCAGGCACCATGTTGCAAGTCAAACAAGTGGGGCAGAAGATTGGCTTGGCTAAACAGGGAACTCCTCTTGGAACCTGGGCGAAAGAAGTACCTGATCTCTGGAAGCAAGGTTAGGGTTCACAGGGAGATTATAGAGCCACAGTTCACATTTGTAGGAAGAAATCAAGGTAAAACTAATCTTATCTTGAGTTGATCCTAGCCAATGCAGTATCACACAACCAAAAAAAAAAAAAAAGAAAAGGCCTCTGAAAGTATGTTGAGAGTCCACAAGTCCAAGGAAAACACTGGATAGTCACCTAACAAGGGAGAATGAGGAAAAGGTTGAGATATTTAACATCTTTGTTGCCTCAATTTTCAGTATTAATGATAGATTGTGGGTTGTCAGGTCCTTTAAGTTGAAGGATCATGACTGGTGGAGCAGTGACTTTCCATTTGTGGTCACTGAAATTAAAAGGACAAGTTGTATCAATTGAACATTTATAAATCCATGGGGTCTGACAGTATTCACCCTGGAGTACTGAAGGAGTTAACAGGTGTTATAACTGGACTCCCCTCAACAATTTACCAAGGGGCTTGGGAGTCTGGGATGAACCCTGCTGACTGGAAGCTGGCTAATGTTATCCTAATGTACAAGAAGTGCATGAGAAAAGACCAAAGAAACTACAGACCTAACAGTCTATCCTCAGTACCTGGAAAACTTACGGAGGTTATCCTGAATGCTACTGAGAGGCAGTTAAAGAAGAAGGCTATTAGACATAGTCAACATAGGTTCATGAAGGAAAAGTTCTATTTTAATAATTTGGAATCTTTCTACGATAAGGTCACCCACTTATTGGATGAAGGGAAGGCAGTAGATGTAATTTTTCTGCATTTTAGTAAGGCCTTTGGTACTGTCCCTCACTGCATCCTTCTGGACAACCTGTGAGATGAATAGGTACACACTATGCTGGGTGATGAACTGGCTGAATGGTAGCACACAGACAATCGTACTGAATGGGACTGCATCAGGCTGGCTCGATTCTAGGGCCAGTTCTCTTCAAGATTTTTATCAACTATCTATGCAGGAGTGGAGTGCATCCTCAGCAAGTTTGCTAATGATACTAAACTGGGAGGTGCTGTTGACTCAAGGGATGAGAGACCTCGCAAAAGGTTCTAGGTAGACTGAAAGAATGGGCAATCATCAGTGGCACGGAATTCAATAAGTGAAAACGTCAGGTTCTATACTTGGAACAGAGCAATACCAGACACAGGTATAGAAGGGGATATGAGTGGCTGGGGAGCAGCCCTAGGATCTGGGGGTGCCGACTGATAGTAGGCTCAACACGAATCAGCAGCGTGCCCTGGCAGCCAAGATGGCAAACTAACTGGGGTGCATTAAACACAGCATAGCAAGACAGTCAAAAGAGGTGATTCTCCTGCCATATCTAGCGCTGGTGCAACCAGTGACCACTTTTCAACTGAACTATTCTAATTCTAAACCAACCAGAAATATTTGCTTTAGGGTGCAAAATGAACATCATTTCTTCAAAGAAACGAACTGCTTCTGTATCCCAGAAGAGTTTTCTTTAGGGAACATTGTGTCCCTTTCAAACTTTGGTTCACCCAGGCAGCTTTCACACTCCAGAGTTACATCCGACTGTCCAAACTCTCTCCATCCAAAAAAAGGCTTCTCTTCTTTCTTGTGTAGTCTTTGGCAAAGTATTAAGTCAATCAGCTTTTTTTTTTTTTTCCTTTTTTTTTTCCTTTTAAATCCCATTCCTATTTTCTGAGAATTCCCTGGACCCCTACTACGCAACTGCTCTGCTATGGAGATCAAACTTCAGTTCAGCTTTAGTAGCAACAAATTCATATTACATATTTTCATCTTTTTTACATTTTTACACCCTAGTACTGATAATAAAAGGAAAGTTTGTCAGATCTTTGTTCAGCTTCCTGCTCCCTACTAGATGAAGTCAGTGTATAGCAATGGCAAGGGACTTTCTGCTAAAGAAAGTTTACTGTATAAATGAAGCCAGAAAATATGTATGCGATATGAAAACATCACCAGTTAACCCATTCATTCTCAGAGTTGATTAGAGCATGTTTCCTGGTTTATTTTTTTGCTAAGGCTCTTATGGTCTCCAAATCTATTTTACTTTATTTTTTTCCTCTCTATTTCAGCTACTGCTCAGGTTGGTCTCAGCTGTGTTATAGGTTTTTCCCAGACTTCATGCTAAATTTCTCTGTGACTGCTGCTTGAATTACATTTTTACAGAAATGATTAAATGTTCCATATGTTATTTTGCAGACTGTCTCTGTGCTCCCCCTTTTTTCTATTGCTGTGGTCTCAGTTCGGCCTTTCTGCTTTGACAGGCTGCTCCAGTATGCACCATAACTAGTGGAAAAGCAAGTGCAGAAATCAGTTCATAAATGTGTCAAAACTTTTCTATGATCTGTCCATGTAGTTGTTGTTGTTTTTTTTGTGTGTGTGTGTTTGTTTGTTTTTGTAGTGGTGGTGGTATTACACTAAAGAAGAACAGATACCATTCTAAGGGTGACATTAAATTGAGTTAGTCTAATGTTGAGTTTGTGTACTACATACATGTATGCCTAAATATTTCAGGCTGCATTTAGAGCTGGTGTAAATTGTAACTTTTCCATTGGAATCCCTGTGGTTGGACTAGTCCATTCTAGCTCAGAATCCAGCCCATCACCTTTTTCTTTAGCCTTTTTTCTCTTAAACACTTTAAGATCCATTTTGTTGTGTCTTTCACGTAAAAACAAACAACAATAACAACAACAAAACAAAAAACAAATCCTGCCGTACTCAGGTAACAGAACCAATAATATTTTCAGCATTTTTTTAAATGTACATGAACTCAGCTTTTGCTCATAAACTCAGTAGGGGTGAAATCTGTTTCCGTAGACAGGGTCAAATCTAAACCTTTCCACTATGAAAGCCTTCCTTTTAGTCTAAAGCACTCTAGTACTCTACTCTAGTTCAATACTAAACTAGTACTGAACCACTGTCTAAGCTATCATTAGCCTCTGCATATACTTTATTGGAAGAACAACTTACAATGATAGTGAATAAGCACAGAAAGAAAGTTTGAAAGACAAAGTAAATATTAGGCCAATGAATCACAGAAAAGCCAGAACTACATCTGAGACAGAACAAAAATGAAAAACTGCTGTAACAAATTTTTGGATCACTTCTTATTAGGCTTTTTTTTTTTTAAACTGCACACTTGAAAGTAGGACCACACACAGTTTGAAAATCCAGAATTGTCTTATTTATTGATGATACACAAGAAGGGTGTCCAGACCAGTATGCTACTAGACGAAACATTAAAACACTTGTCAGCACTGTGTAGTCACCAGTGTGTTGTGCTAGTCAAGCAATCATGAATGAGGTGAGGGAAACATTAATGTCTGTTGGTCCTCCGAAAATGCTGGCTGTGCTGCTGTCCTGCTCCTGATTGCTCCTTCATGCTGTCATGTCATCGCCTGGTTTTTAATTTCTGATGAGTCCAGGAGTTGGATCGCTATTAACTATAAGCAAGTCACCTCTTCTTTGTTTCTATGCTGATATATTTCATGGCTTGTATCTTGCTCACAGACTACAGTAAGAGTGATGGCTACCACTCAGCATTGACTTATTTGCACAAAGCTGGACATTGGGTCACACAATATAAAGCAGGAAGAAATTACAACATTTTAGTATCAGCTGTTATATAAGCTGTATATAAGCATTATAAGGTCATTTTCATGATAGTAGGCATGGACCTTCTGCATAGTTAGGGAGATTAAAGATGAAGAATTTTATAGGTACTCATGTCCATAGTGAACATCTCGTATTACTGAGATTACAGCGGAAGAATACAACATTGTGGAGGATACTATTTGCTTTAGAGACCCTTATTCTATTGGCATTGTGCTTGAGACCACTCCAATGATTGCTCCATCCTGAAAACTTCCATTTCATCAGATAAAGGTTCTGCAGGAACTACATCTACTCAGAATTACATTCCTCCTGAGGTGAAGAACCTAGAACAAAGCTTATTTATTATTCAAGCCTTCAGAAGGTGGTTTAGATGGGTGCTGAGCAACATACAAGTTTCTGCTGAACACCTGTTGGGGGCTAACCTCCACTCTAAACTAGTAAGCTAAAGAAATTAATGTAATATCAAGTGCCCAATGAGCAATCATGCAGTACACAAGGCTAAAACATAGGCTGTACCTTATCTGAGAATCAAAGTTCAGATGTTTTTCTTTCATGATCTGTAGGACTTCATTGGGTCCTGTTCCCAGGTGGGTAAAGAGGAGAGTTCCTCAGACAGCTCTTTCTTGATAGGCCATCCCCAGGCTGTAAAAAAAGGAGCCAGATTCCTATTCACCTGCTGAGAAAACTTCTGCGCCCACAAATTCATCTTAGAAGGGTCGTCTTTTGGGATAGAGGACATTTTCTGGTAGTCAGAGAAGAGGTGAGTGAAGGGGTCCCAGCCAAACCCTTCTTGCAGCTGCGGGAGAAGAACAGTATAAAACAGTGAACTTTTCATTTCATTGACATTATTCCTGTGTTACAAACAGTAGAGTGACCCTCCCACCCCTTGTTTCTCTAGTGTCTTTTGGATTTAATGTAAAGTTAGAAGAAGGTATCCAGCTTTCAGGCTTCAGAGCACAACTTAGAGTACAGAAAAATACACCTTCCCATTACACTGGCTTGCAAGCACAAACAGAGATGAAAGATGCGTTGGGAGGAGCTAGAAATGTCAGCAATCATCTATATAAGTTGTTGGTTTGTGTGGAAGAAAGATTCTTGTGCAGCAAAAGGAGTATCAAAGAGGATGCTGACAGATAACCTGGACAGAAGGAAGACAGGAGAACAAGGCATGATCAGAAAACAAGAAGGAGAGACTGTGAGCTGAGCATGAGTTTTGGCTAGGAATAAGAACACAGGAGTTTCAGATTAAAAAAAAAAAAATAAAAAAAAATAGTCTTGTATGAGCAAGAAATTTAAAGTAAAGAGGGAGAGGAAACCTATGTTGTTGCTCAAGATGAGGTTAATATGAAGAGCTGACTTGAAACAGCATGACAGGATACAGAATATCTACTGAATATCTTTAGTTCTTTACCAAGCCATGACTTGCATCTCACTTCCTGATACTAAATAGTTTGACACTAAAACATGTTCTACAAATCCACCATCATGCTGGAACAGCTAAGCAGGAGCAGACAGCATTTCTACATTAGGAAGTACAGGCAGACAGATTATCTACCTCTCATAATCCCCTATTACCATGGAAACCCCTGGTGCTGAGACTCGCTATGGACTAGGCAATATCTTTAGCTTGATGATTTAGGCTCACTGATTTTCCACTCTGGAACGTGGTAAAATCAGGATCACTACTCCTTCAATAAATATTTTGTTATTCATAGAAGATGTGAGAGCTCCCAGACAAGGGGGCTGAGGGACATTCACCTCAAAACAGTCAGTAGCTTAAGTCATCATAATGGACTTTTTTTTTTTTTTGCCAGCTAACTCAATGTCCCACAGGAAAATTGCAGCAGATTAAAGGACTAAAGATCCAAGTTTGATCATCCTTTTTCCACATGATATAATCAAACATAAATATATGCTATATAATTATATATACCATATATATAATATATATACATGTATATATTGTTATATATAACAAGCAGTTCCTGTTTCTCTCCTAGGGAGAGAGATTAATATATTGTACTAAGTTCTGTTCCTGAGCAGTTAAGCCCCAGTCTTTCAAAGGAAGGGTAACAGGAGATGCTAGCACTACACAATCTACGTGTGCATCTCTCAAGTGATTTCTGGACCTATGATGAATCCGGATTGTAAGCAAACACTGGCATGACACCTGGAGTCACCAGGCTGAAGACATCCTTCTGACACAGGGTTCACCAACTACTGAATCATAGAATATCCCGAGTTGGAAGGGACCCATAAGGATCATCAAGTCCAACTCCTGGCACTGCACAGGTCTATCCAAAAGTTTAGACCATGTGGCTAAGTGCACAGTCCAATCGCTTCTTAAATGCAGACAGGCTTGGTGCAGTGACTAATACACTCGCTTTTCCCAGTTACCTGCAGGTATGTCTCCAGAGCAGTCCATACGTTCCAGTCCTTTAGCTGAGCACCTTTCTTCAGATACTCTCTTATCCTTTCCTCCCGGCACTGTGACGTAAGTGCCTCATGTGCCTGATGCCTGGGAATCCCCAGCACCTTCTCATGCACATAGACAGACCAGAGATTGCAGGTGGCCTCTGTGGTATGAGGTGGAAACTCCCATGCTTGCTGCTGTTGATTGTGTCCCAGCTCATGGACAGGACCCCAAAGACCAGTAGTTTTCATGTGCTTCACATCTATCATCTCCTTCACTGAATCGATGTGGCACATGATGGGGTAGCCAGAATGCATCCAGCCTGCAAGAAAAACATAAGTACTTACCCCAGTGCCTCTTAAACATAAGTAACTGTATTTCTTTTTCATTTCTCCAGCACCTTTCCTCCATCTCACAAACCATGCTGTATTACAATTACATTACAAGCTGTATTCAATGGCTCTATGTCCAAGTGAAGGCCGGTGAAGTGAAGGCCTCAGGGGTCTGTCCTGGGACCAGTACTGTTCCATACCTTTATCAGCAACATAGACAGTGGGATTGAGTGCACCCTCAGCAAGTTCACAAGAGACACCAAGCTGAGTGGTATGGTTGATACAACAGAAGGAAGGGATGCCATCCAAAGGGACCTGGACAAGCTTGAGAAGAGGGATCATGTGAACCTAATGAGGTTCAACGAGTTCAAGCACAAGGTGCTGCACCTGGGCCGGGGCAGTCCCAGGCATGAGGACAGACTGGGAGAAGAACTTATTGAGAGCAGCCCTGCAGAGAAGGACTTATGGGTTCTGGTGGATGGAAAGCTCAACGTGAACTGTCAGTGCGTGCTTGCAGCCCAGAAGGCTAACTGCATCCTGGGCAGCATCAACAGAGGGGTGACCAGCAGGTCAAGGGAGGTGATTGTCCCCCTCTGCTCTACCCTTTTGAGGCCCTACCTGGAGTGCTGCATCCAGGTGAGGGGCCCCCAGCACAAGAAGGATGTGGATCTGTTAGAGTGGGTCCAGAGGAGGGCCACAAAGATGATCAGAGGGCTGGAGCACCTCTCCTGTGAAGAAAGGCTGAGAGAGCTGGGGCTGATCTGCCTGGAGAAGAGAAGGCTCCGGAGTGAGGTTACCTCATTGTAACCTTTCAGTACTTGAAGGGCACTTAAAAAGAAAAATGGAGAGCAACTTTTTGCTCAATCAGATATTGACAGGATGAGGGGGAATGATTTTAAACTAAAAGAAAGGAGATTTAGGTTAGAGGTTAGGAGGAAATTCTTCACTCAGAGGGTGGTGAGGCACTGGAATGGGTTTCCCAGAGAGGTTGTGGAGGCTCCATTCCTTGAGGTGTTCAAGACCAGGTTAGATGAGGTCCTGAGCAACCTAATCTAGCAGTGGCGTCCCTGCCTATTGCAGGGGGTTGGAACTAGATAATCTTTGAGGTCACTTCCAACCTGAAACATTCTATCATTCTAAGATTACCATAAGTGACTTTTTTTTTCCTTTTTGTGAGATAAGGAAATAGTACAAGCGTTACTGTATCAAAGAAGAGATAGAGACAGTACTATCAGTTAAGTACAGTTTCACCTACTTTGCCTTTTTATATTTAAGTGTACACTCACAGTTGGGCTGAGGATGAGATTTTTGGTTGAAGGAAGGTTCAGTTTTGGGGCAGACTTTCTTTCCTGTCTCTTGCCCAGAATACCCCCGAATGCTCACAAACCAAGCACAGCTGACACCTACCCAAACGTGCAATAATGTGATTCAGCACCCTGGCAGAGTTTGACTTCCTGTGTAGAGTGTGGATCCTGCATGTCTGCACTCCAGAAGTTAGCAGTGTAGACAAAATACATGGATGTTACAGCTTGCCATGCTCGAGGGCTGCAAAACTTGTCATGCTGAAGTCAGCTCTTAACCTCACAGAATAGCTGTTCTATAAATAATTTCCCAGTGTCATGCAAGGCAAGAATTTTGTACTGCAAGGGATTTTTCCCAAGTCTCCTTGGTGTTTTCATCCTTGACTTGTCCTTATTCTTAAAGATTCCCAAAGCTTCATAAAAGAATCATCTCCCCAAAATCAAACACCTATCGTAGAAGTGGATAAACAGCCCTTATTCTCACTACATACATGTAGGGAGCCTACACAGCTGGCTTTAACTGAACAATAAGCCTGTATAGTACTCAAGTGAGAGGACATCAATCACAACCCCCTTCCTGCAGAAACTATTTAAGATCTTGAGCTCCCCAATTTCTAATAAGAGGGATGCGTGTAATTAAAAGCCATAGGCATGCAAAAAAATCAGGTCCAGAAATGTGAGTGAAACCATTTATTCCACCCAAAACAGGAGGGAATTTTGTGTTTGCAGCCAATGGTCTTTTTAACTGGCATTTGCTTAGCATAGCTGAACTTAACGTTCCCAAAATGTGTAACAGATTATTCCCATGTGCCTTAGCAAAGGATTAGGGCATCAGGGTTTGTGCCAAGACCTTGCCTCATTTTGGGATAATGAATTTCACCAACGTGATTTGAAAACCAATTGAAAAAATAGTATTACAAGGTTCTGAATTTATCATCTAGCTTGACTCATTCAAATACACTCAGTACACAACTTGAAAAGCTGGGGTCATGGAGTATCAACTGCAAAACTACAAACTCATGGGCTTTAACAGTAGTATTGCTTCTGCTTCTCCACTGCCATCACCTCAGGCACATCTTTTCCAACTAAGGTTTGCCCACAGTAACCTTTGCACAGCCTGCTTCCAGCAGGTAGGTACACACGAGTATAACAATTATCACTGAATGTAAGCAAACAATCCTATGGCCGAGGCAGGAAAAAAAAAAAAAAAACAACAAAAAAACAGAAATTAGATCAATGTCTCCCAGCTGTACTGATTCAGCAGTACATTCAGGAAGGAGACAAAAAACCCTGCAGTCACCAGCTCTGCCTCTTAACACATCCAGGCAGCAGAACAGCTGAGTGAGACAATGCTGGTTTAGACAGAGAGGCATCTGAACGGTCTATTTAATTTTTATAAGTACTGTCTTACTGTATTTTCATACTGTTTGAGTAGCTCACAATTATGCAAGGATCACAATCATTTGACCCTTTACGTATGTTTCCAGTCCGGCTTTACTGAAGTGACTTCGCAGGAACAGATCTTGCTACTAGAGGCCACTTGCCTTGTAGCCACTTGAGAAATGCCATTTGTCAGTGCACCTACCACATGAGATCTGGACATCTGCTACAATCCTCTCTGGCCTTGGGAACTTTGTTGGTATGGCTGCCAATTTGCTTATTGCCACCATGATCTCATTCCACAGGGTCAGCAGTGGTTTTGGGTTCTCCAAGTGGCGGATGCTGTCAGCTGGTACCGTCAGGATGAGACTCTCAGCTGCCAGTTCTGCCCAGGGAGCAGGGTAGTGCCGGATACTGGCCTTCCACTGGTTTTCACAGGTCTCCCCTACATCAACACAGAAAATCAGTTAACCACAGCTCTAACTTTTGAGCACACTCCCAGAAGTCAAGCTGAAGAAACAGATCACAGTTGAGAAATTCTCTTGGAAAACAGTACGTGGTAGGTGTGCAACTGCAGGTGGTTGGTTGTTAATTAGTTAATCCTCACCCTGTACTTGGGAAGCCTTAGGCTCTTATGGATGGGAGACAGATGGGAGCAAACTGTCATATACCAAAGTAGTTAGCATGGCAAGAACAAATCTCTGTTTTCCTTCTGAGAATAAGAAGCAGGCTTCTCCAGTCTCACTTGATGATCTTGCTTCTTCTTCTCCAATGGAGTTTTTTCTCTGTCTAACAACACTGATTTCTGTTTAATTTGATAGAGGAACAAGATGTTGCATACCACAAGGAAAGAGAAAATGACAGAAATCATGGAAAATTCACCACAGAGATTTATCACACTAAAGCACACAGAGTGCAAGATAAGCTTTGTTGTGACAGAACACTCCCATCAACACATGGTTTTCACCAGAAATGACAATTTCAACCACTAAGAAATGTTGGTTTAGACAAACCCTGCCCTTTTTGTGACAGCTCCCTCACCTCCCTCATGTGACAGCAGGCACAGAGTGAATATGTGAATTACCTGGAATCCCAGAGCAAGACAAACCAAGGAAACTGAGTCTAGGCATTACTAAACACAGTCAGGTGCTCCTAAGCATGGCAGCATCTTTCATTTCAGTCACAGGGATAGCAGCATCATGAGCAGCACTAAGAAAGGCACCAAGGTAAATAAACCTACCAAGCTTGAAGAAAGGAGCTCTGACTGCCCCTTCTACAGTGATGGGCACTTTTCCCAGGACGCTCCTTTCTGGTACTATGATGTAAATGAGGCCACCCCAGAGGCAGGAAACTGACTGTTTCTGGCAGGTAATATCACAGGTACGTATTACCACTGGGCTCGTTTCAGCTCTTCAGCATTAGAGAGGTCATCCGCATGACACCCAACCTGCACCTGGCAAACAGAAGGGTAGGTGATTTGTGAGCAGCTGGGTAAAATGCTTCAAGTACAACTTTGCCAACGAACTATAGCACCCTGAGCCCTCTGCTGTAGCGCTGTTCCTGCAGGGCACATGTGCAGAAACAGCTTTCTAACTTCAGAATTGTTCAAGTGTTCAGCCTGTGGTGGCCAGAAGCAGCAAAACAAAACAAAACAAAACAAAACAAAAAAGTTAAAAAGTTTAGTGCTGTCTCTATCTCGGACAATCTCACGGCTCTGCTCCTATTTTTACCGGGGTCTGCTATATCCTTCATTGGCAGTTCACAGAATTGCAATGTTTTTTTTTTCACTGTACTTTACTTGTATTTATTTTTTCTTCACCCTGCACCAGCATCAAAGTCACATCCTATAACATATGAGGTGGAGAGGTGTGATCACTCCTGGGTTGTTTTATTGTGCCTCTTCCTCGGCCCTGATACAGTAAAACAGACAAAGTGGCTGCAAGATTATACAAAAATACCTGACTTAATCTTGAGTTTCAGCTGCAGGAAGCTTACTGCAAAACATACCCAAGCAGGTGAGCTTTTGTCTGCTTTGTTCTTTGATGAGAACAGGATTCCAGTTAACTGGTTTATATCTGATCTGGATACATCTATGAGAGCAACAGTAGCAGCATTGTGGAAGTACATTAGGAGAGTTCTGGAAAGAGACAGAACTAAGTTTCATGATTAGAAGGGCCCACCCAAGTACTTATTTGGGCCTAGAATCACCTTGATCAGTTCTCTCTGCACGGCAACAGAACAGGTACAGCAAGCAGTCTCCAGGCAGCAGCCACAATCAATTATCCTGCCAGCACACAGACGAGGAATGCAAGGAGTGGAAACAAAGTGAAAAATGATGACAATGCATGGAAAGTGCCACAGGGTGGCAGCAGAAGGAAAGGACTGACAAGGCCTAAGACCTATATTCGAGTGTCCAGCTGACATTGTGTAAGCAGTAGCCAAACTAGTAAGGGCTCACCTGCAGACCAGCACCGACCAGCCGACAAGGGAATGTTATAACGGCTGTGTGACCCTCAGGGAGATAGAGTCCTGTACTCCTCCAGGCTGTCTTACCTAAAATGTGAGAGAACACAGATCTGAACAGTCAGAAACTCCTGATGTTATGGATTCCGGAGATTTCAAGCTGCAGTAAAAGAATCTTCTGTCTTTGTCTCTACACATGCACAATTGTCTCACATTTTATCCAATCTGTTGGAAATACAGCTTTAAAGGGAAAGGGTATTGGCATGAACAAGATCATCACACAATTAGCAAGCAAGCCCACCCAACGTAAAATTCCAAGAATGACGAAGGTACTTATTAATACTTGTAAAAAAATAAACAAAAAATAATAATTAAAAAGAAACAGCTCCTCCTCCACTCAGATCCTCTTACCCTCAGAGGTGCATACTGTGGTGGTATTAGACATAGTTGAAGTTGTAATGGTCATCAAACATCTCCTAAATAACAGACTGACAGTGACATCAAATTTTTCCCAACTGACTAGTCAGCATAAGCTGGGGCCCACACGAATTCCCATTTCTAAGCTGACTGAAGTTATGAGAATGCCTAGAGGGCTGTCCTAGCCAAGGCATAAGATGGGTACCCTACCACACCACTAAAATTTAGCAAGCCTCTAGACAGCCTTCCCATGGAAATTAAAGCCTCCTCTGCCTAGGAGATTTCAGTAGACACTTCTGATATACACTGCAAAACTGATCCATCTCTACTGTACTGATCAGGCAAAATCCACTCATTGGTTCTGACAAAGTTTACTCAAGAATATTTCAGCCCAAACAGCAAAAATCCTCAGAAGAGCCGGACCATCCTAAAGCTCCTCATTTACAACCTTCCCTGTCCTCCAAGAAATTTTGTCAGGCAAAACCTAATCCATGGAAAATGTAAAATAGACATAATATCATAACTTTTCACCAATTCATCTCAATTTTGCTGAACTTACACCTATGGCATTTTTGAAATTGTTTAATCTCAAATCATGGGTTGCCAGCACTTTTCTTTTTTTTTTAATGTCGAATTACACAAATTCTGAACAGTCCCACTATTCAATTCAATGCTTTCAATCCAACCAACCCTAACAATTTTCCCCTTTTGCCCTGACTCATTAGTGTTACAACCAGTGAGCAACTATTCCACAACTCTTGTCTCTAAACTTCCTCTGCACTCAAGACATTGCCACTCCAGAACTGTCCTTTTTATCTCATTAGAATAGTTTGCAAACAACAACTCTCAATCATATTCAAATTAAAAATTCAAGATTTATCTGTCCATGGAAAAATACCTTACCAGTGAAATTACTTAAAGTTTAAATATATCAGTACCAGGAATCTCAAAGTTATATAGCTACAAAGCCTAACGTTAGACAAATGATTCAGGACGTAATTACCAAATACCATAGCTTCAGTGATGGTGTCAGCCTATGAAGTTCCCGTCCTGCTCACAGTCTCTTGTTTTCACCCCAAAACCACAACTTCACTCCATCAGCTCTGCTGATACAAGAAGTTGTGAGACCGCTACTACTCAGACTGAAATTACCTAGATAAAAAAATAAAACTTTTGTTCCTAACTCCCAGCTTTTCACAGGATGGTCTCAAAGATGGCTCTGTCAGAACACTAGTGGGACAACAAATGGTAGAGCAGAGCCTGGAGTTCCTGAGGAACTTAAAGCTTTCTTGAGGAAGCCATTGCACTGTGCAAGTACCCTCAGGAGCTTCTATAGTTGGCTCTTCTCCAAGTGCCTGTGTACCAATTATGAGGATGCAAGACTTCCATGGCATGTTTCAGAGCACTAAAATCAGTGCCAGCCATAAAAGGAGCCTGCCTGCCACCACACAGAGGCCAGCATCCCCACAAGCCCACAGTGAAACTGGACATCTGTCCTCATGTTCAGACATACACACAGAGGGCAAGTGCCTTGCTGATCCCAGCGCCAGCATGCCTCAAGAGGAAGGGAGATACGGTACTCACCTGGATTAGTGCCATCGATTTCCACGGTAACAGGAAGGGCACAGACCCCAGTGGCAGATTTCTGCACTAGGGCTGCACAGTCTGTCATGGTGTATGACAGCTCAGTTGCCATGCAGAGCAGGGCTGCCTCTTTGGAGTTGCTCTTGACAGGCTTGTGCCTGCTGACGTGCGGGATCCCACTTTGGCGAAGCACTTTGGCCAGGATGCGGGCATTGAGGCATATGTGGGGCAGTCCTGGGCAGGGATGCGCAGAAAAGGCAGCACAGTCTTGTGCCAGCCTTGGCAGCCAGTCTTTCAGGGGAGCTTTGAGACCCTCAGCCTTGTCTACATGGCTCTTGAAAAGAGAGAGTGCCTTGCGAAAGTGGTAGTGCTCCCCAAATGCTGTGGCTGGAGCTTTGCTGCCTGGACACTCTGCCCCAGGATGCTCAGCCCAAAGTGGTTGAGGATTTTGTTGCCAGGATATTCTGCCACTGCAGCTTTGCCGCGGTTCTGGGAAGCCCAATACCAGGCTTGGCCTCCAATCAGTAGGCCACCCCCTTCTGCCACAAAAGCATGAATTGTCTCCACCTGTTTGTCACTGTAAGAAGGACAGCAGTATACGCTCATGTTGCCTGTCAGCTCTGATACCTGTGACTTCACCTCTTCCTCACTGAAGAGGCCACACAGTTTCTTCAGGCTGGCATCCACACCCACCAGCCCCTTTCTCCCAGCATCTAGCCAGCGGACAGCATTGAGCAGGAATTTGGCCATCTTTGGGGAGAAGAGCTGACTCTCATGGGTTGCCACCACAACACGGCCTCGGCCATAGCGTGATGCAGCTAAGAGGCAGCGGTGCGAGCTGTCCAGGCAGAGCGGGAAGGAGAGTACACCATGCACCAGCAAGATGGAGGGTGTGCCCCTGTCACCATATCCAGCTCTGACACACCATGCAGGAGAAAAGCAGAATCAAGGCCAAGATTGGCCTGGTGTCTGCAAAACCAAGAGAGGTTCAAGTTAGCTCCCAATCCAGCATCCTCTGCTTAAACAGCTACTGTGTCCGTCCCTGCCTCTTCTTCCTCTCTCACCCTAGTACATCATGTTGCCACTTCTTTCATTTTAAAATAAAATAAAATCCATCAATTTTTTTTTTTCTTTTAAAGATTCACTTTTTGCAGTCTACCAGATCTGTAAGAATCTCAGCACTCATTTACAAATGAAGACAAATAAAAGTTTCCAGGCCTGTTACTTTGAAGAGCAGCCTGAAATCCAAATGCGGGATCTCAAAAGTCAACGGACCTTTCATATTTTTTAAGCAAATCTTTTGCAAATTTAACCTGCAAATGATGGGGAAATCAGCGTATCTCTGTAGCAGAAACTTCCTTGAATTACTCCACCCTAAGTATCATAAACTGGACAAGCCCAAAAGATTTCTCTGTGTGTTCTGTTGAGAAGTGAAGAAAGGATAGATAGACCCAAAAGAGAGACCCACAAATTCCTACCAGTTATCCTCCACAGTATCTTTGTGGAGCTTTACCATGTAAGGCTCTTGTATTTTTGCTATTTCCTTATAGCGTCTATATGACATTGTGGAGAAAAGACATGTTCAATCGGTTGCAATTACCTAATTTTCTCCATTTGGGCAAAACACAATTTTTCTTGACACCTGAAAAGAATCTGTTGTACATGGCCATTGCAGCCCAGCTCATTACAATAAAACCTGCTGCCCTTGTGCACACTCATAGGACAGGAAACTGCACTCTCTTCTGATATTTACTTTACTGACACTGCGAAGGAAAATGAAAGACTTTCTGGGAATTTTATTTCTGTCCATTGCAACTTCCACTGCAGTGAGTGACACTGCCACACACAGGAAGCATAGCACCCGTTTCTCTGCTCCACTGAGATCCCATGGCACTCTTCCCTAACTGAGCAGAAAGTGGTGCTAGGCACAGTCAGTATGCTCAGTGGCAAGGGGAGGTGGAGGAAGACAGAGGGGCAAAGTCCAGGGCACTGCTGTCTGCTCGGCGATACAAGACACAACAGCTCAGAGTTTTCACAACCTGCTGCTCTGAGACCAAAAGGCCAAGCTAAGAATCCCAAACTAACTTGAAGCACACCGTGTTCCTGCTAAACAGCCTGTGTCTCTGGAGAAGGAGGGTGGCACCAGGCCTGCCTCTCAGCTCAGCATCAGGCCAGCGGTTTCACTTGCAAAAAGGAAATTTTTTGCAGGGTTAAGGCAGGTTTAGCAGCTGTCAGCAGAGCCCAGCCCGAGTGCTGGTGAGGTGCTCCATCTCCAGTGTGGTTTTGAACTGTGTGAAAGTTGGCCTGAACATACCCACCCTGGGGGAAAGGATGGGATAGGAGCCGGGGAGTTGCTCCTCCTTTCCCCAGCTTGCTTGTGTGTGCTCACAGCACAGCTGATCAGGGAGACAGCTCTACAACAAGGGCTGCACTCATGTCTTGACCCTGAAGGAATGTCCTAACCCACGCCCCTGGGAAGCAAAGTCATCATTCTTTCAGATTACAAACAGCAAGGAGATTCTCGCTTACATCTGAAGACTACAGCGGCAGCCCACCCTGGCTATTAAAGAACCAGCATTCAAACAGGCGTCATCTCTTACCTCAAGGATCTTCTGTAAACATCTCATTTGCATAACTTGTTTTAAATAGACAGAACAATTCAGATACTACGGAACAGTTAAGGGGATCTTTGGAATTTTCGCTTGGCAACTTTGAAGATCCCTTTCGCTACAGGATTTCCTGTGAAGTACACACCAGCCACACTGGTCACCTGGTTCCCGGGATTCAAACAGCACCTTCGCTTCCCAGGTAGCCTACCCCAGTGCCAAGCGGCCTCCAAGAGCAGGCCGCCACCTTCCTGTTACAAAGCAAACTATGTCTTTTGCCTGCGTGCTGTCATAGGCATCCATACAGTACACCCCGTGGTGGGTGCTGAGCGCTACCCCAGCCTCTACTTTGATGCCAGCCCCAAGGAGCAGCTGGGAGAGGGAATCCAACCGGTGATGGGACCCAACCAGGGCCGCAGGGGAAGGCTTGAGCCACTCCACAGCATTTCTGAGGAACTGGGAAAACTTGGAGCTCTTCATGATTCCCTCGTGGGAAATAACCACCATCTTGCCTTTCCCATACCGTGAAACAGCGATCAGAACCTGCTTCTCAGCGCTCAGAAGCACAGGGTAGGCATCCTCTCCAACAAGCAGCAGCTCACAAGGAACAAAACCATCAGTGAAGTCCCATTCTCCAACACTGTCTACTAACAGCTCATAGGTAGCAGAGGGTTTCATCTTCAAGCCACTCTAATCTGATGGAGAGAAGAGCAACATTCATTGCAGTATGGCTCAGCAATACAGAACTGCTAAACTGCTAAAGGAAGCGACTGTTTTAACAAATTCTGCAAATTCTCAAAGAGGAGAACAAGGAAATAAGGATGAATACATTCCCATTAACAATTGGTTTGGAGAGGGAGAATGGCAGAAACTCCAAGAAGTCTACTAGGAACTTGCCTGGTAGAGGTGGCTTACATGGAAGGTGACAGACAATAAAAAGACCTGATCAGCACAATACATGGCGTAATTCAAACATGCAGTTTCCAATTTTCTTCCCAATTGGGTATGTATAGAAATACACATGCCTGCTGTGGCATAAGTTTCCAAAGATGCACTTTTTCTACCTGTTCAGACACTAAAAGCAAGGAGCATTAGGTGGTGACATGAAGAGGAAGAGGGTTGATAGAAACAATAGAGACAAGCAGTTCCCTGTCACAACTGACAGTTTAAGCCACATGGGACCTAGCAGAGCGGGTCTGGGCACAGGATTTTCATGCCCTAGTATTCTGTTCTAAACTGCCACATGATATCAAGGAAATAATTTCCCTCTTCTGCAGCTTTGTTTTTCCCATCTATGAAGCGAGGAGAATGGTACTGACCTTTGTTGCCAAAGCCTTTGAAGTCTATTGGGTGACACGTGCTATATTTAGCTTCCCTCAGGTCGAAAGTTTGGACTAGCTCTTCAGCAAAATCGTCTCCTGCTGAGTTGAGGCTTCTGTGACTGTGCAGACAGGAAGAGTTTTGAGGAGGAGAGTTTGACCAAGTCCCACCCACTTCGTGTCATTCCGAATTCACAAGGCTGACGAACACTACGCCTACGGCAAGAGAAGGTGTTGTTCTGGGGCAGACTTTGCCCTTTCCTGGGCAGCATCCTGTGCCAACATCGGTCTCTATAGCCTTCACATACATTTCAGATTTGGCTACCCTGAAACCAAATCCTTGGCATGCTAACACAGGAAAATAGAGAAGTTCTGGAGAAGCAGAATCCTTGACACCCAGAGAGCCTCTGGGTGAGAATTAAGGGGATGGACAGCAAAGCAAATATATTTTGTTGTGGGTGTCATGGGTGTCTATTGTTGACCACCCACCCAGGATGATGGCATAGATGAGCTATTCTATAAGCAATTAGGAGAAATCTCCTGGTTGGTTGTCTTCACCATTCTGGGAGAGTTCAACTTCCCAGGCATAAACTGGAGGAATACTGACAAGTCTGAGAAATTGCCAAAGCATTTTGAAGACAACCTCCTGTCACAAATGTTTAGCGAGCCAACTAGGAAAGATGCCTTCCTAGACCTGCTATTTGAGACTACAGGCCTTTTGGGAGATGTGAATGTAGGTGGCTATCTTGGCCACAGCAATCATGAAATATCAGTTTAAAACTTGTGTTGTAAGGAGAAAACGTCAACAGAGTTGTCACCCTGGACTTTAAGCTACTAAGGAAGCTAGTTAACAGTGTCTCCTGGGAATATACTCTAAAGAGGATTTAGGGATCCCTGAAAGCTGGTCACTTTTCAAGAACCACCTTTTAAAAGCCCAGGAGCAGGCACCATGTTGCAAGTCAAACAAGTGGGGCAGAAGATTGGCTTGGCTAAACAGGGAACTCCTCTTGGAACCTGGGCGAAAGAAGTACCTGATCTCTGGAAGCAAGGTTAGGGTTCACAGGGAGATTATAGAGCCACAGTTCACATTTGTAGGAAGAAATCAAGGTAAAACTAATCTTATCTTGAGTTGATCCTAGCCAATGCAGTATCACACAACCAAAAAAAAAAAAAAAGAAAAGGCCTCTGAAAGTATGTTGAGAGTCCACAAGTCCAAGGAAAACACTGGATAGTCACCTAACAAGGGAGAATGAGGAAAAGGTTGAGATATTTAACATCTTTGTTGCCTCAATTTTCAGTATTAATGATAGATTGTGGGTTGTCAGGTCCTTTAAGTTGAAGGATCATGACTGGTGGAGCAGTGACTTTCCATTTGTGGTCACTGAAATTAAAAGGACAAGTTGTATCAATTGAACATTTATAAATCCATGGGGTCTGACAGTATTCACCCTGGAGTACTGAAGGAGTTAACAGGTGTTATAACTGGACTCCCCTCAACAATTTACCAAGGGGCTTGGGAGTCTGGGATGAACCCTGCTGACTGGAAGCTGGCTAATGTTATCCTAATGTACAAGAAGTGCATGAGAAAAGACCAAAGAAACTACAGACCTAACAGTCTATCCTCAGTACCTGGAAAACTTACGGAGGTTATCCTGAATGCTACTGAGAGGCAGTTAAAGAAGAAGGCTATTAGACATAGTCAACATAGGTTCATGAAGGAAAAGTTCTATTTTAATAATTTGGAATCTTTCTACGATAAGGTCACCCACTTATTGGATGAAGGGAAGGCAGTAGATGTAATTTTTCTGCATTTTAGTAAGGCCTTTGGTACTGTCCCTCACTGCATCCTTCTGGACAACCTGTGAGATGAATAGGTACACACTATGCTGGGTGATGAACTGGCTGAATGGTAGCACACAGACAATCGTACTGAATGGGACTACAGGCTGGCTCGATTCTAGGGCCAGTTCTCTTCAAGATTTTTATCAACTATCTATG